ATCTATCTATCTATCTATCTATCTATCTATCTATCTATCTATCTATCTATCATCTATCTATCTCAGCTGTGATGGCACAGTGATTAGAATACAGCATTGGAGACTGACTCTGCTGACTGCCAGCACTTCAATTCTCACCGGGTCAAGAATGACTCAACCTTTCATCCTTCTGAGGCCCGTAAAACAAGGACCCAGACAGTTGGAGGTGATAGGCTGACTCTGTAAACTGCTTAGAGGGGGCTGTAAAAGCACTGTGAAGTGGCATATAAGTCTAAGGGCGATTTCTATTGCTATAATGTGGCCTCAAGTAAGTGCTTGATCTGGATAGAAAACAGGCAATGTCCTATGTTAACACTACAGTTTAATGCCAGATTTTACACACCGTTGGTCCCTTTCATCTACAATCAACAATCTATAATTGTCGGCCCTTTCTATTCCCTCTCCTACAAATTTACCTCTGCTGTTAGATCTTGTACTGTCATGTTGTTTATGCTGTTGTATTTTTTTATTATTAGTTGAATCATAAAAATACAATAGTATAAATTAGCTTTTCTGCCGAGCAATTTACTATTCAAGAACGGGGTATACATTTAGAAATAAAAAGGGTTAGTGGAGTATGGAGAATAAGTCATAAAAAGAGCTTGGCGGCAATATCCGGTAGACGAGATAGGAAAAGGGTTAGAGTAGAGAACTGTGGAAAGAAAGAAGGGGAAAAAAGTGGAGAGAAAGAAGAGAAGGGGGAAAATGCATTTTCAACCAGGGTCAAACGCCCACTGTGGCCACACACCCACACTGGGCCTCCGAGGTCAAATACAACCCTGCTGCTGCAGTGTGAAAAATAGTCCTTAGCCACTTTTTTTTTCTGTGCCGACGTAACTCTGAACAGTCAATAAATGGACTTTTGTAAGTTCAGGATTACCTACATCGCCTTCTTGGGAAAATCAGGTGAAGGCCAGAATCGGGTGGAGCCGTGCCCCCCCCCGCCCCCCCCCGGTGTTCTGCTTCCGAGCCCTTTCGGCGAGTCTTTTGCTGAACATTCCTGGTGTGCCAGAGAGCGGGCGGAGAGGAGGCCAAATTGGCTGGCCTCCAAGCAGAAAAAGCATTCTTGGTTTTGCAAGGCCAGGAGCTTTGGTGAAGAGCTGCTTTCGGAGGAAAGCCGCGCCCAGACTGCTGTTCCCTGTCGGCCGCTGGCCCCTCCAGCGACCTCATCAGAGGAGGAAGAGGAGCCGGAGTCAGACAACCTGAGAGCTCCGAGGGGGAGGAGGGAATGGAGCTGGCAGAGAGAGAGAGAGACAGAGAGAGACAGAGAGAGAGGCGGAGCCTCAGCTGTCCGTCTGAGGGAGAGTCAACAGCCCCCGTGTCTGAAGGTGCCTGATGAGGAAGAGGAGGAAGAGGTGGGTCCAGTGCCTGACGCTTGGATGTGCAGAAGGCAGAGGAGAGGAGAGCAGTGGAAATCTATCGGCCGGACCTTGGGACCGAAGAGCCACCACTGCTAGAGAGGCCCCACCGTAGCTCTGGGGATAAAAGGCAGGGGACGGAGATGAACAGACGTGGCAGACAACTATTCCTCTCCCTGCTGGATGGATCTGCTAGCCTGCTTGTGTGTGTGTGTGTGTGTGTGTGTGAGACTTTTTTCTGGGGCTGCCGGAGCTCCTAATAAAGGAATAATTGATTTAACTGCAGAGGGTTTGTCGTGTTTTGGGGAGCTGGGCCAGGACACCTACCTTCAACCCCGTCTTTTCATCATCGCTGCCGTTGTTGGTGGAGGGGGTTTCGTCTCCTTGCCTGGAAATCAAGACAAAATCTTCGCTGTTGAGAGTCGAGACCGAATCTGAAGACACGCTGATTTTGCCCACCGAGGCCTTGTCATCCATTTCTTTCTTTTTTTTTTTTTTGAAAAATAAGGGAAGGGTGGATCATAGGTGGCCTGGAGGAGGAAGGACCTGGAAAAGACGAAGAGCACAAGGTCACCGTCATCCCTTTCTGGGCGGCTCTGAGGAGAGAAGGGAGGAAACTCAGGGGTTCCCCAACGCAGGCGCAACCCAACCAAGTCCAATTCTAGATGTTTGCGGGTCTGGCGCCAATTTTGAGGGGTCCTTGGTGCTCTCTGAGCTTGGTGGCTTTCTTGCAGACGTTCCGTAACCAAACTACTGTAGATAACCTCATCGGTGCTCCAAGGGTTTATGGAGAGGAGGAGGAGGAGGAGGAGGAGGAGGAGGAGGAGGGGGAGGAGGGGGGACTGTGGGGTGTTTGGTGCTCTCTGAGCTTGGTGGCTTTCTTGCAGGCGTTTCGTTACCAAACTAGGTAACATCATCAGTGCTAGTCATCACTGATGATGTTACCTAGTTTAGGTAATGAAACATTTGCAAGAAAACCGCCAAGCTCAGAGAGCACCAAGAACCCCATAGTCCTCCTCTTCCTCCTCCCACTCCCCGTAGCACTGATGATGTTACCTAGTTTGGGTAATGAAACGTCTGCAAGAAAACCACCACGTTCAGAGAGCACCAAGGACCCCACACTCATCGTTGTACTCCTCTTCCTCCTCCCAATCTCACTTCCTTTAGCACTGATGACGTTACTCAGCTGGGTCATGAAACGTCTGCAAGAAAACCACCAAGCTCAGAGAGCACCGGGGACCCTTCGTGTCAACCCGAGAGCTACAAATACTCTTGGTACCAAAGGATTTTACAGCTCAAGAGCAGAATCAGCCAGAGATGCTTTGCAAGAGTCTCTTGAAGTGACGGCGAAGACCTACCACAGCTAAAAAGAGCCATCAGTGACAGCCACTAGTCTACCTTGGGGGCAAAAGCTCTTCTTATTAATTCATTCTCCAGCAACGGGACCTTGGAATTAGGCAGAACTCCCATAATAACCCTCTAATCTTATTTTTGTGAATTCCACACAATATTATACAGCGTAGAAACAGGGGGACTCCAACCTTGGCCACTTGAAGACTTGTGGACCTCAACTCCAAGCAAAGCTGGCTGAGGAATTCTGGGAATTGAAGTCCACAAGTCTTAAAGTGGCCAAGGTTGGAGACCCCTGGTGTAGAATTCCACATAATTGTCCCATGAATTGAGTGTGAATTCCACACAAATTACAAAAATTACCTTCGACAGTGGTACTTCAAATCCTTTACAGGTAGTAGACTTATGGCATTTCACTTAGTGTTCAAAGTTACAACGGGATTGAAAAAAGTGATATGACCGTTTTTCACACTTCCAGCAGCTGCAGCATCCCCCATGGTCATGGGATCAAAATTCAGCCGCTCCGGCAAATTGACTCGTTATTTATGACGGTCGCTGTGTTGCCAGAGTCACGTCACCCCCTTCCACAACCTTCTGAAGAGCCAAGTCAGCAGGGTAGCCAGATTCACTTAACAACTGGGTGATTAACTTAACCTTTTCAGTGATTCGCTTAACGAATGTGGCTGGTGACATCGTAAAACGGGGCCCAAAATCACTGGACCAATGTTTCACTTAACAATGGAAAGGTTGGGCTCAATTGGCCGTAATCTTGGCTGCCAAATTCAATACAATTGAGCCCAAAATTCAATACAATTGAGCCCTTGTTGGAGTCTGATTCTGACGAGGAGATTGAGCAGCTGACAGGAAGTGTGAGTGTGGCTCTGGTGGCTGTGGAGGAAACTGGGGAAGGGCACAGTCCGGCTGGGCATTCAGAGGAAGACCCAGGCCCACTCTGTCATCCCAAGGCACGCAGGGAAGAACGGAGAAGGGAGCAACGTGGCTTACGAGAGAGAAAAGGGCTCTGATCCCCTTCATGGGCTGCAGCTGGGAGAACAGGATATAAGAAGGGCGTTTGCACACAGCACCTTGCTGGAAGCAAAACGTGCATTATCTTTGTCGAGGCTTGTCCTCCTAACTATGGGTGCTGCGTTATCTTGTGGAAGTCTGCAATTTATTATCCTGGCCTGTCGTGTTAATTACTTCAGCTGTGGTTTGTGTTGGTTTTTTTAAAATTTCTAATTTATCTTTACTTTGGGTTCGTTTCTGCCCTTCGTAGAGTGTTTTTGGAAGAGTCTGTTCTCCAGCCGAGGATAACTGAACGTTGGGGGCCAAGTTGGATACGCACATGTTAGAAGTTGAAAGACTGGTTACGTACAGAGGTGGGTATTCAGCGTCTGGGTCAATATACTTTATACACAATACTACTACTACTACTATTATTTAGATACACATAACCAGTGGTGGGATTCAAATTTTTTACTACCGGTTCTGTGGCCGTGGCTTGGTGGCTGTGACTTGGCTTGGTGGGCATGGCAGGAGAAGGTTATTGCAAAATCCCCCTTCCCTCCCCAACCCACTAACCTGCTTTCCAGCTCCGTTCTCCTGTGCAGGACAACCAAAGGAAACCCAACTGATCAGCTGGGACTCAATGGGAGGCAGGGAATAGATGGGGTTAGCGGGGCCAGTCAGAGGTGGGATTTGCTGGTTCTTGGAACCACTCAAAATTTCCGTTACCGGTTCTCCAGAATTGGTCAGAACCGGTTGAATACCCACCTCTGTACATAACTAGTCTTTCAACTTCTAACATGTGTGTATCCATGGTAATTATAATCTATTATATATCAGTATTATATTATACTATTTTTCCAATTTCTACTTTCTACCTTTTTCTTTTTCTACCTCTTAATAAAATAGCCACCATATTAAGAAGTATTCTAACTATCTGTCCATCCTATTTCTTGCCCTTTTTTAGAATTTCAACTCTTTTATTGACTTTTTGGTAAATCTTTCATGCTTCTCCCTTGGGATCTTGCAAAGTCCTTACAGCACCCTTATTTGACCTAAATTCCATTAGATTAGCGCCATTATAACTTCGAATGGTCATGAAATCAACTCGAGACTACCTGAATCTCAAGAACTTTCGCAACTTGGGAAACCTCCTGCTTAGCAGGATCGATCTATCTATCTATCTATCTATCTATCTATCTATCTATCTATCTATCTATCTATCTATCTATCTATCTCAATCCAAGGTGGGAAGGAAGAAGTAATGTTACCAGCTTGTTCCTCAAAATTCTCCTTGTCTCCTCCCTCTTTGGACGGCCTGCGTGCAGTTCCTGGCAGCTTCTGGCAACCCCTGGTGCATGCTCAAACTCCGGTCTGACTCAATCAATCCACAGGAACGGAAACCACCAATTAATATTGGCATGCGGCTTAAAATGTCACTATCATATTTTGAGGCTGGTGAAATGACCCTGTTGCTCCCGTCAGGGCATGCTTCCGTTTAAACAGCGCAAAAGAAAACCCAGGTAGGCCTTAAGAGCCCCAAACTTATGTTGCTAAGTGAGGCATGGGTAAAGTGGGCTTTGCCCCGTTTCACGTCGCTTGCCACCCTCGTGAAGCCAATCGCTGCCATTGTTAAAATTGTCACACGGCTAAATGGCTTTCCTACTGACTCACAAAAGGGGATCACAGGACACTGCGGCATCATAAATGTGAGTCAATGGTCAAGTATCCCAATGTAAATCACCTGACCGTTCGAAGTTATACCGGCACTAATCTAATTGAATTTAGATTAAATAAGAGTGGTGTAAACCGTTGGCAAGATCCCAAGGGCGAAGCATGAAAGGTTTACCAAAAAGTCAATAAAAGAGTTGAAATTCTAAGAAGGACAAGAGATGATGGACAGATATTAGAATACTTATTCATATAGTGGCCATTTATTAAGAGGTAGGATAAAAAGGTAGAAAGCAGAAAATTGGGAAAATTGGGGAAATGTATACCAATATATATCAGGGACGCAGTGGCTCAGTAGGTAAGATGTTGAGCTTGTCGATCAGAAAGGTCAGCGGTTCAGCGGTTCGAATCCCTAGTGCCGCCTAACAGAGTGAGCTCCCGTTCCTTGTCTCAGCTTCTGCCACCCTAGCAGTTCAAAAGCATGTAAAAAAATGCAAGTAGAAAAAGAGGGACCCCTTTGGTGGGAAGGGAACAGAGCTCTGTGCGCCTTCGGCATTGAGTCATGCCGGCCATATGACCACGGAGATGTCTTCGGACAGCGCTGGCTCTTCTTCGGCTTTGCGACGGAGATGAGCATCGCCCGCTAGAGCCGGAAATGACCAACACGGGTGTGCGAGGGGAACCTTTGCTTTTATACTGATATGTAATAGATTATAATTACCATGTATACGCAAATGTTAGAAATGGAAAGACTATGATTATGTGTATCTAAATAATATTATTATTAGTAGCATTGTATTATACAATGTATATTGACCCAGGCAATGCACAGTTCACTAAGCACTTATGGATGTAAAAGAAAAAACTGTGGGGAGGCTGCAACGGTCGTTAAGTGGTGAAAAACGATCCTAAGTTCTGTTTTTTCGGTGCCATTGTAACTTCAAACGGTCACTCAATGGACCGTTGTAAGTCGAGGACTATCTGTAGAAGGAACACAACTGCCGTGACTGGTGACCCCTGTAATGCTGTCAACGGGGAGGGAGGGCAGAGTGTGTGAATGTTTGCTCTGAAAACATCCTTTTAGTGTTTCAAAGAAAAGCTAACTAGCCTTTTAGGAGGAGGAAAAAAAAAAGTCATTTTTGCACTTTCATTAATCTCCAAGAATTGTATGAGTACAGGGAGTCCTCGGGCTTAGGACACAATTGAGCCCAAATGTTCTGTTACTAAGTTAGACATTTGTTGAGAGAGTTTCCCCTCCATTTTAGGACCTCCCTGGCCAAAGCCGTTCTGTGAATCACTGCCATTGTTAAAGTAGTAACCCGATTGTTAAGTGAATCCAGCTTCCCCATGGACTTAAGTCTTGTCTGAAGGTCGCGAAAGGGGAAATCACATCACAGCAACGGTCATAAGTATGAGTCAGTTGCCAAGAGTCTGGGACCATGGGGAGGCTGCAACGGTCATAAGTGTGAAAAGTCATGTTTTTTGCGCTGCCGTTGTAACTTCGAACGGTCAATAAATAAACTGTTGTAAATCAAGAACGACCTGTACTGAACTGAAGGGTTGTTCACTTTTGAATGTGGTTTGTTTATCTGGCAATCTAAATCCTCATGTTCTTAAATAGAATTTAAAAAAAAAAATCAAAAGAAAACCAACAGATAAAATCCAGGTCATGAAAGATACTAATATAATTAACTCCAGATAAGGCTGGTGCCATGGTGGGGCTGATCTCTAGACAGAGATATAAAAAGCCTGAAATCTATTGGTGGATTACTTCATCTAGCTTCCTTCCCAAAATCAGAGATTTAAAGGAGAGGTATTTAACCAGCAGAATAAAACATCCAGCGCTACCTGTTTTAAAACATGTGTGGCAAACTTTAATTTCACCCACCCCTCCCGGATTATCGCTATTGGAAAAACAATGGCTCTTCTAATATTGTATTAGTTCTTTTGACAAGCTCTTAAATTGCTTTGAACCTATATCAGGAAAGGAGAAGATATTCTGAGTCATATATAGTGCGTACATTGTTATTATATCGTCTGTTCCTTTTTCTTTTTTTTTACACAATAGTCTTTTGCATTAGGTAATATTTGAGGGTCATTAGGTAATATTTGAAACATCTGAAGTGTTCTGGAGTTCCCCTTCACTTTTCTTAACTTTCAAAACCACAAAAGGCAACCTTTGTAAAAATGTCGAAACGTATTTAAGCAGTTTTTTCCAATCCTGTTGGTCTCTGAGATTACCGTTCCCGCACTGACAAAGATATTGAATAGGGGAGATCATTACACAATGTGTCCATTAATATTAATAATAGTCACATTTCACCATTCCTCTTTTGAAGCATCTCTCAATGTGAGCCACTCCAAAAGTGATCCCCAGTATTAGTAAAAGCAAATTACAGTTCAGCAGTTTTATTAAATTTCGATGCAAGAGCAATTTCATACAACATGCAAAACTATGAGGTTTAATAGCAGATCTAATAGTAATAATTAGGTTTCATTCCACATTTCCTTTAAACAGAATATAAGAGCCAGCTCCAAGTTATCCATATTAAGCCACACAATAAGCTTCATTGGTGTAATGATGGCACTTGTATCATTTTTGTTTTGGAAAGAAAAATGACTCTAGGAAACATTGCTTTATAAAGACAAAGAGCTCGCCAGCATGAATAATAAAATTCAAAAGTGTTCATCATTGCATGCAATCAGAGCAGGTCTGGTGGAATTATATGAGGGTTTTTTCCCCCCAATCTCAATTCCAATAGAAATTTCTCACAAGAACAGCCTCAAAGCAGTCCAACAATCCACAATACACTGATGACGTTACCTAGTTGGGTCATGAAATGTCTGTAAGAAAACCACCAAGCTCAGAGAGCACCAAGAACCAGCTGAACGGCAGGATCAAGAACATCTGACAGCCACACTCTAACAATTCCACCTCACATATCAATGGCAGCATATTTATCACTCTCGCAGTTTCTCAAAAGCAAACGCATAAGATTCCAACTCAAAAGAAATATATTCTTATTTCTCTCTGTATGTCTATGTGTATACACACACACACATACATATATACTTGTTTCTCTCTCTCTATATATATATATATACATTGTTTCTCTCTCTCTCTCTCTATATATATATATATATACATACAGTACATATAATATATAGACACACACATATATACATGTATATATAAAGAGAAAGAAACATATGCACACCCAGACACACACATCCTGTGGAAGTATTTACATATGTGTGTGGGTGTCTTTAAATTATGTATATGTGTCTGTGTTTATAAACAGGGCGTCCTCCGATGACAAACACACAAGACGTAAATAAATAGCCAATTCAACAGGAGCTTTAGTAAGTCCAAAGGGCTACACAGAATAACCAAAACACAAATCCCTTCCTTGGTTCCTTCCAGTAACAACAGGCATGGGGGTTTCCTGGCCAAGCTTCCCTTCTTGCCCCTAACCTAAATATAAAACGGCCTTGGAAGTCAAGCTGGAATCGGGGTGAATTTATGGGAGGTTTTTCCATAGGCGAAAGAAACGAAATGGAAATATCTATTTCTTTGGAATGGGGGGGGGGGGGGGATGGAAAGGAATGGGGTGGGGGGTGTCTGTGTTCCTCTTTCCCCCTCGCTTCTCGATCCTGACCCTGGCAAAGGTTGGGCCTCCCTTGGATGGGGCACCACCAGGAGATCCCAAGGATGGCAGATGGGTTGGGGGTTTCCACACCCCCAACTTTTTTCCCTACACATCTGCTAGCCCTGGGATCCCCTGGTGGTGCCCCATCCAAGGGAGGCCATCGATAATGATCCTGGCTGGAGCAAAAGGGGGGGAGGCATCGGGGCCATTCATAACGGGGGTCTTCAGCACCCCTGGGGGCCCAAACAGACCCCCCTCCCCTTTATTGATCACGTCTACTGGCCGGGCTACGGTGATCGATTATGGATTCTTGGCTCTCGTGCCTCCCCACTCCCTAGCCTGGTTGAGGAGCCCCGCCCACTAGTCGGGCTCCTCCCCTCCCCCCAACGCCGGCCCCGCCCCCCTTCGGAGCCCCTCATCGATGGGGGTCCCCTCCGACTCACCCTCATCCAGACGGACCGGGCCGCCGTCGCCGCCTCCTCCCCTCTCGCCCGCCGCGGGAGCAGCAGCGCCGCCGCCGCCGCCGCCACTGACGGGCCTCTCTCAGGCCGCCCCAGCGCCCCGATCCCAACCCCAGTCACGTGACCGGGCCCGGCCGGAAGCGGTGCTTGCCCCTTCCGGCGTCCGGGCGGGAGGTAGGCGAGGCGGCGCGCACACTTCCGGCAGGGCGGCCCCGCCTCTTCCTTAGCAACCCGCGTCCGCCCCGCCCCTTCTTTTCTTCGCGCCGACTTGGGGAAAGAGAGGGAGAGAGAGAGAGGCGGCGCCGGAAGTGGGGCAGAGCGACTTCCGGTGGCGGCGAGCCGGTCTCTCGGCCAGGGGTCCCCGCGCTCGGGCCTTCCCCCTCCCCCCCCGGGCGGACCCCGAACAGCGGCGCCGGGGGGAGGCGGAGAGGAGGTGAGCCCAGCCCGGCTGGGGGCCCTTAAAACTCCGTCCCTCCTCTTCCCTGGGGTGCTGGTGGAACTCGCGGCCACTGGAGCCCGGCGCAGCGCCTGGAGCTGCCCCCCCTTCCTTAAAACCTACCCTGGGAAGAGGGCGGGGGAGGGGTGGGAAGGCGGGGGTGGTTGAGCGGGGGAGGGACGTCAATGCTGGGGATTCCCCCGGCGAGTTTGAGGTTAGGGGGTGCAGGGAAGTCGGGGGACCCCCATGCCATCCCTGCAAGGAAAGATTAGCAGGGGGTGCTTGGGACGACGCTTGGCCCTTTCTGATAGCATATCATAGAGCTGGAAGGGGCCTTGGAGGTCTTCTAGTCCAGCCCCGTGCTCAAGCAGGAGAACCTATACCATTTCAGACAAGTGGCCGTCCAGCCTCTTAAAAACCTCCAGTGATGGAGCACCCATGATATCTGGTGGCAGGTTGTTCCACTGGTTAATTGTCTTCGCTGTTAATAAGTTTCTCCTGAATTCTAGGTCGTTTCTCTTTTTTTTAATAGTTTCCATCCATTGCTTCTTGTATTGCCCTCTTTGGAAAATAAATTAACCCCCCCACCCCTTTGTGGCAGCCTCTCAAATATTGGGATACTGCCATCATGTCCCCTTTAGACCTACTTTTCTTTAGGTTAGCCAATCCAAATCCTGATGCTTGGCATCCTTTAGGTGTGCACTGATGGTGTACTCTAGTTGGGCCATGAAACATGTGCAGGAAGACATCCAAGCTCAGAGCACATAGAGGACCCCACAGTTGTCATCCTCTCCCCGCCCTCATTCCTTCTCCTCTTTCTCCTCCTCCATAAAGCCCACTTCCTCCTGCACTGATGTTGTTCCCTAGCTGGGTCATGAAACATCTGCAAGAAAATCACCAAGCTCAGAGGGGCATGAGGATCCCACATTCCTCCTCCTCTTCTTCTTCTCCTCTCTGTAAAGCCCACTCCCTTCTGCACTGAGGATGTTACCTACTTTGGTAATGAGATGTTGCAAGAAATCCACCAAGCTCAGAGAGCATCAAAAAAACCACAGTCCTCCCCTTCCCCTCCTTCCCGCAAACCCCACTTTCTTTTGCACTGAAGATGTTACCTAGTTTGGTAAAGAAATGTTGGAAGAAAACCACTTAAGCTCAAGAGAGCGCTAAGGACTCCTCGCTTGAACCCTGAGCTTACAGATATTCTCTTCTGTTTGATACCCTTCAGGGCTTCGTCAACATGACCGAGAGAACGGAGAGCCTCCATTTCCAGTTTGACAACTACGGGGATTCGATGCTGCAGAAGATGAACAAGCTGAGAGAGGAGAACAAATTCTGCGACGTCACCGTCCGCATCGATGACCTGGAGGTCCACGGCCACAAGGTCGTCTTCGCCGCCGGCTCGCCCTTCTTGAGGGACCAGTTCCTGCTCAACGACTCCAGGGAAGTCAAGATCTCCATCCTGCAGAGCTCGGAAGTCGGGCGGCAGCTGCTCCTGTCCTGCTACAGCGGAGTGCTGGAATTCCCCGAGATGGAGCTGGTCAACTACTTGACGGCCGCCAGCTTCCTTCAGATGAGCCACATTGTGGAGCGCTGCACGGAGGCGCTCTGGAAGTTCATCAGGCCGAAGCAGAAGCTGGGGAACAAAGAGGAGAACCAGGCCAGGGCCAACTCCTCCCAGTCGAAGGAGGCTGTCGGAGCCAGTGGCGGGGAAGACGAGGAGGAGGAGGAGGAGGAAGAAGACGAGGAGGAAGAAGACTCCTTGCAGCCTGATTCGCCTTGCCTCCAGCCGTCAGAGGACAGCATGGACATGGACGATAGCGACATCCAGATCGTGAAAGTGGAGTCCATCGGGGAGGTGGCCGAGGTGGGGAGCAAAAAGGACCCAGGGCCGTTCCTTTCCTCTGAAGAGCCCAGCTCCCTCCCTTCCTCCGAGCCGCAGCACTCCCTGATCAACTCCACCGTGGAGAACCGAGTGGGCGACCTGGAGCAGAGTCAGCTGCACAACTACGCGCTCTCCTACTCGCCGGCCGACAACCTCATTGTGGCTTCCAAGGACCTCTTTGGCCCCAGCACCCGCGGGGTGGACAAGGGCCTGCAGTGGCACCACCAGTGCCCCAAGTGCACGCGCGTCTTCCGGCACCTGGAGAACTACGCCAACCACCTGAAGATGCACAAGCTCTTCATGTGCCTCCTCTGCGGGAAAACCTTCACCCAGAAGGGCAACCTCCACCGGCACATGAGAGTCCACGCGGGCATCAAGCCTTTCCAGTGCAAGATCTGCGGGAAGACCTTCTCCCAGAAGTGCTCCCTGCAGGACCACCTCAACCTGCACAGTGGAGACAAGCCCCACAGGTGCAACTACTGCGACATGGTCTTCGCTCACAAGCCGGTCCTCAGGAAGCACCTCAAGCAGCTTCACGGGAAGAACAGCTTCGACAACGCCAACGAGAGGAGCGCTCAGGACTCGGCCATAGACTTCGACTCTTTCGGCTGCAGCTCGGGGGTGGACTCCAAGGGCTGCCCCGCAAACGAAGCCAGCCAGGTGCTGGAGGCGGGGAAGCTCGCCCAGGCCGTGCTCAGTTTACGGAGCGAAAGCGCCTGCGCGAATTAAGGGCTTGCACCGCACCCCACCCCAGGCTCTCTTTGAGAGCGAGAAAGGCCACCAACTGCTGCCAGGGATGTTTGCGTGTGTGTGTGTGTGTGTGTGTGTGTGAATGGAGCTGGCCTAGGTGCACAAACCTGGAAGGGCTTCCCCTTTTGAGCTCCAGGGCCTTTCTTCTTTTAGAAAGATTCAGCGTGTCTACGTGACATCGTCTCTTTTGCAAACTGAACCTCCTCCTGTGAATATTACAAGAGCTGGCATGGTGTGTACGTGTGTGGGGGGCAAACCCTGTTTTGCTTAAGTTCTGCCAAAAAGAAGCCACTTGGTCGTGAGCCAGCCAAAGGCCTAAAAAAACAGGAACGGATACGCCTCGTTGTGGCAAGAGTTTTTAAGCTAAAGACAGGACTGTATTCTTAGGAAAAAAGAAGAAGAAGAAAAAAAAACACTGGATAATTATAAAGTCTTTTTACTTGGTCGCCTCTTGGGCGACCTTCTTATTTTGTATTCTTTATGAAAAACCATCAGGTACTTCCCTCTCGGCTCCGGCTACTCTAAGGAGCACCGCCTCTTTAACACGGCCGTTCCTTTCCAACACGGCGGGGAAAGAAGCGTAATTGCTTTAGAGCAAACCTGGGCAGAAATCGGAGCAGCAGACTGGTGGGATGACCTTCCCTCCTTTGACCCTTTGCTCAGGCTCAGTTCCTCCCCTCCCCACCAGAATAGGTTTCATCACATCTTGGGTAGAAAACGGCGTGCTTAGGCTAGGACGGTTGAAGTTTGCATGTCTCTCCACGCACCCATGCGATTCTTTACGACGCAACTTGGGTTTTTTTTCTGTAACGGTTTCCCTACTAGCAGGGCCTCAGCTCGTATCCCTCTACTATTATTATTATTTTTTTATGGCTATGATCAGTTCCTTCGTTGTTCCTAAAATCGGAGTCCGTTTTTTTGTTTTGAAGATTATGTATGGTGCTTAAAATACTGTTGGCATTTGGTTAGCAGCAATGCCATAGAGGACGGGATCGGTTTGAAAGGATCTTGTGGTGCCTTCGGCACGGGAAACCTCTGAAAGGGAAGAGGATCTCCAAGGCAGACCGTAGGTTCTTCACTCTTCGGAATTATTTCTGGGGAGAGGGATTCCCAATCTGTAAAAAAAAAAAAAGAAGTTACTAGTTGAAGGTGGATTTATTAGTGTATCGTATGAGCTGTATTTTACTTAGCCAGAGTTCTGGTGTAGGAGACCCTGGGTATTTTTCCCCCCTATATTATGGTGGTCTTTTCTCCTGGGCTGGGAAATCCAGGAAGCCGGAAGCCCTGGGTGCAGACTTGCAGTATTTACTCCCCTAAAGAAAGAGTTTTTTTTTTCCTCTTGAAAAACACGATTGGGCAAGCTTCCTTATCCCGCCTTTCTTCTTTTGCCCATTGTCATCTTCTGTTCATCCTTAAGTCAGAAGTGGGAGAGGAGGAGTTGTGGCGTGTGTAGAAAAGGTGAGGTGGGCTCAAGTAGTTTAAGCGAGCAGGTGGTAGAATGCCGGCCCCCTCAGAGCTCAATCGCCTCCGGGGTGGGGAATCTTGTAGCAATCGGTAGGTAGAAACCCCACAACCAGCATTATTGTCCTTTCTCCCTGTTAGGGGTCCTCCGAGGAGAGGGGATTTCCCCCCCCCTGCCCCCGCCTCACCCTCAACCCCTTGCAAACCTCTCGGGGAGTAAGGCTGTCTGGATCTGTGAATGCATTCTAGTGTCCAGAAAAACAACCCTCGCCTTTCTGTTTGTGTACTGAGTCATTGCAGTGGGTTTGGAATAAAGCAATTAAACCACCTTCCAAGGTGTGTATATATATCCTTTTTTTTTTTGTAAATGATAAAGGTAGTCCCCAATTTACGACCATGATGGGAGCTCCAATTTTTGGGGGGTGGGTGGGCTAAACGACACCCTTCTAAAGTGAACTTTGCCCCATTTTGCAACCTTGCCGCCACCGTTGTTAAGTTAGTCACGCGGAGGCGAAGTGAATCTAGCTTCCCTGTTGACCTTAGATCCAAGGTCACTGCAACCGTCATAAATATGAATCAGTGCCTGGAAGCGTCTGAA